ACCCATCAAAAGTTAAAGCAACAATCGTGATTCCACTAGGGACAAGAAAGTCTGATACTTTCCTGGTTATCTCTGCTCGTTCTTGTGCAGTAAGAGAATCTATTAAGAAGTATGCTACAGGAATTTTCCATCTTGCGTTCACGCCATTTATTAAATACACTAACGCTTCTTTGGCAAACGGTAATTCTTCTGGTTCATGAATACAACTTCCATAGTCAATATATCCTATAAACTTTCTCGCCGAATGATCCCACTGAACTTGTTTGCGAATAGCCATTTCATCCATCATTAAACATCCATATAATTGTTTGCCTTCATTTTCAGCTGCTTGACTTTTTATTTTCAAAATTTGTAATGATTCTGTGGAAAATCCTAGAGAGCCATCAGTACTGCTATACCATGATCGAATAGTGGATGATGCAGGCAATTTATTCATAAAAGTTTGTCGAACATAGCAATATGCCTTAGGACTGTAAAAGTGCAAGGTTAATGCAAACGCTCTCAGTTGCGGGGGATACTTTCCTTTAACCTTACCACCTTGTATCTGCTTAATGATATTATCATCAGAAGTGGAATCCCTAGTGGAATCACGATTGTTGCTTTAACTTTTGATGGGTTGACAGCAAATATTTCAATGTCACAACAACTTGGTGCTAATGTTTTTGCCAACAAATCATATTTTTTTCATCCTTTTAACTCAGATAAAAAAATTTTTATTATTTTGGACGCAGTTCATATGTATAAATTAGTAAGAAATGTACTCTGAAAAATGCACATTTTTTATTATTAGCAATAACAAAAACACACATATATATATATATATATATATATAATACATGCGTATAAGACAAATAATATGTATATAAAGAAAATGTCTTGTATATGTTGCATATATACTGCAATTTAACTAAAGATAAAATATATTTTCAACATATTTCTATACAAATATCACACACACAAACTTGATTTCTTATGATCAGCTTAATGAGTTTTATATAAAAATAACTTTATATTATAAATTAGGTCTTTCTTACTTATATGCATCCTATTGTTAATGCTTTTTAAATATAATGAGAAATGCTCCCTGATATATGTTGATTCTACATAGGTTCATCCACACGGGAGCGTCCCAGATGCGCACAGAATAAATCGGACACAGTAACAATCGGATACAGTAACTATCGGACACAGTGACAATCGAACACAGTAACAATCGGACACAGTAACAATCGGACACAGTAACAATCGGACACAGTGACAATCGGACACAGTAACAATTGGACACAGTAACTATTGGACACAGTACCCTGTTACGTCCTGTAGATTTAATTAGTAAAAATTCTTTCCTCTCGCGGATTTATATTCTCCTAATATAACTATAATAGGAATATATACATATATAAATATAAATTAGGAAACAGACCCATCTGGCGAACAGCCGTCGCACCAAATGAAAGGCGATTCGGGAAAATTCCATAACAGGAAACAGTGCCCTGTTGTAAAAATCTACGTCTTCGTTTAAAGTTTATATCTGGGTAGTGTTCGCCAAGTGTGTCCGTCGTCCCAGCCATAAAAATTTGAAACTCCGCGCTAACAAACCTTCAGTAAAACAAAGCAACACAGAGCATTCCTGCTCTAAAACTTGAAACTTACATCTTCCCAATCCAAAACCATATGTGCCCTATCAGTCAACCAACAAAGCTTACTTCACTGATAGTCGTAAAATCTGATCTCAGCCTTTGATTTACGGCATTTTGATTTTTCCAGCCGGCCACTTGTATACATTTCTCTATCTCAAGAATCCACCACCTCCACGCTTGTCGCGCCTAATTCATTCAGCCAATCATATCATATCCACCTAAAACTATGAGACACCCACGCTCCACCCTTTAGCCCTTCCATATTCATATCTCCAAAAACTAACTGTCTCCTCCCACGATGTCTTTTAACTTCGCTAATGGCTGAAACTTTTTCCAACTAAGACCAATTCACTCCTTCCTCAAAGGCCATCTCTCTACCCACCCTGATAGCTTCTGCCTCCGATTATCATTATAAAAACTGCGGTAATCCGCCTCCGCGACACACTACTTCTATTTCTACCACTACTTCTACTTCTACCACTACTTCTATTCTGAGAGACAGGAAAAAGAGCAGATTCACATTCACTTAGATTCTAGATTCAAAAGTCAGACCTGTAAAAACGCGTCCTTAGACTCAAATTCGTCTTCGGTTTTGTTTCGGCACTACACATACTCTTACGTCCTCTGTCTTTTTTTTTTGGGGACAAAAATAAAAATTTAGAATCAGTGCTATTGTGCCATAATTGGACAATTGGAAGGGAGTCGCACAACCCATCCCAACCTACAGAGCAGGAGCCGCCTATCAACCGTTATATCTTGTTCATTTCTCGCATCCCAGGAATCACCAGTAAGTTACATTTTCTTTGCTTACTAACTCTTTACTCATAATCCTTCCTTTTTTTTTATTTCCTCCTTCTTTCACTTCTCATACACACACACATATACATACACAGTCATTCATCAATTGTATTAAACCGCGCCGTAATTCATTTTGTTATTATACTCATTTTAATAAATCTGTTTATATTTCATTTTTTTCCAATTGATTTCAAAATCACATATACCCTTCCAACAGTCAACTCATGGTCCTATCCCCGGTAAAGGGATTCGCGTCCCTGGCCGAAAAACGGACCGCTCGTCGTACGTCGGTGTCCGAGTAAAGGGACCCGTCGGGTCCCTGACCCGTTCACTGACACGCGTGTACGAACGAGGTTCGCCTTACTCGCGAACGAAAGGGTTGCGTTCCTCCTCTAGGACGTAACAACCCAGATAACCAAATATGTTTGAGCAAATTTTGTCAAGTACTTGGCCACAAATTTTACTGACAAAATGACATCAAATTTGATGTAATATCTGCTAAATAAAATGTTGTTGGCAAATTGTCAGCAAACATAAGACAAAGTTTGCTAACAAAAAATAACGGCAAATCGATACCAAAAACCGAACAAAGTTTGCACGGTAGTTTGACGCCAAATTGGCATCAAAAACCGAGCAAAGCTTGCACAACGCACTTTGATACCAAATTAGCACAAAAAACCAGACAAGGCTTTCACGGCGGAGTTTGACGCGAAATTGACACCAAAAACCGAGCAAAGCTTGCACTTTGCGCACGTATAGACAATACAAAACATATTTATAAATCAAAGTGAAGTTGTGTAGTGTGAAGCATCGCTGATTCCCAATCTAAAGTCCCGAGTTCGAGCCCGGCCAGAGAACGATAAAGTGAATTTTTCAAATAAAATATTATTTATAAGTGATATCGTGCGTGCGCGGGGATTAAATAGTACTTAACTGAGAAAATTCAAACAAAATCATTCATAATATTTCAAAAACGACGCAAATAAAATAGGAATAATAATAAATAGAATTCAACATCACAAAAATGACAGGATATGTTATATGGTAGTAAATATTTTTTACTTTAGAAAGATATGTTTATATTTAATAATAAATTTAGATGCATTTAATTGCAAAAAACATTTTCTTTAAATAAATAAATTATTTGTTTATTTAAAAAATGCATATATAGTTATATGCAAACTAACTGTTTATATAATTAAAAAAGTTAATTTTTTTAGTACATTTATCTCTGTATATGAAAATATAATTTTTATGTAAATCACTATTTTATTCTAATAATAATAAAATAGAAAATCATTCAAATTAATAAATTTATTATTCTTGGATTGGATTTTAATGTTAATTTGCTCTCAGTGTCGAGCAAGTCTTGTTCAATATTTGGCGTCAATTTGACGTCAAACTGTACCGTACAAGCCTTGCTCGGTATTTGGCGTCAATTTGGCGTCAAACTGTGCCGAACAAACCTTGCTCGGTATTTGGCGTCAATTTGGTGGCAAGTTGTTAACAAACTTTGCTAGCAAAACCCGAGCTTATTGCGGACACAGATGGCACCGGATTTGCCGTCAAGTTTTGGTCATATTTGGTGTCAAATTGGCGACAATTTGCTGCCAAATTGTTTGTTGGGTAACTATCGGACACAGTGACAATCGGACACAGTAACAGTCGGACACAATAACTATCGGACACAGTGAGAATCGGACACATGGTAGTTGCAATCGGGCATAGGGGGGGGGGGGGAAACGGGCGAAGCCCGGGTGCAGGGGATGCGGAGCCCCCCCGCTCATACATGTACTATTAACATGTACGGAGCACGTATCTTACTGTGTCCGTTTCTCACTGTGCCTGATAATTACTGTGTCCGATTGTTACTGTGTCCGATAGTTACTGTGTTCGATTGTTACTGTGTCCGATTGTCACTGTGTCCGATAGTTACTGTGTCCGATTGTTACTGTGTCCGATTTATTCTGTCCGCATCTGGGCCTCACTCCATCCACACATACATAGCGATTCCCATATTAACATAAAAATATGGAATGGTTCATAAATATATACATATATTTCTGTAGAGATGGCCAAAATAGGTATTTGAAAATACAAAATGCAAAATAGGTATTTTAAAAATGCTTTTCCAAAATTATGTATTTTATATATACATATATGTGCTTATATATATAAAATACATAATTTTGGAAAAGCATTTGTAAAATACCTATTTTGCATTTTGTATTTTCAAATACCTATTTTGGCCATTTATGTATTTCAGCCTATAAAGGGTTTTACAATACGATTCAAGTATATGTAGGTGAAGGAGTATCTGTTTTAATTACCTGTAATACTTGCTCAGCATTAGAGGAAATAAGATTATTTTTTCTTAGAGCAGTGAACAACTGTTTTAAACTCTCAATCGTTTTCTTCTGACTATATACTTGAGATCTTAAACGATTCATTGCAATCTGTTGAGCATTATATTTCTTTCTTAATATAGTAACGTACTTCCTTAAACTACTTGACGACATGTTTGTCACTTTTTCGGTTGTAATATCTCCTGGATATCTTATTAAACATTTATTACTTGATGCCACAGTATTGGTTTTTGTTGAATATGTCATCTTGTATTTGTCCTTGATGAGAACCAATTGTTGATTCATCTTCCATCAATACTTCGGAAGATGCATTATTGTTTTCGTTACAGTGTATACTTTCTGTTATGCTATTAACAATTTTTTTTTATTTGTATAAAGTTTGTATGAAAGTGGTATTATTATAGTTTAAATGCATTAACAATTTTAGTAATATTACCTTAAATTAGAAACATGTGAAAATATAGATGGTACAGATCCTTCGTACAAGCGTAATGATGACAATCCAGTTTTGTACATACAAGTTTCATTAAAATGTTCTTGACATACAGTGCTATTTGTTTTTATGGCCACATTTTTCAATGCTTTCACCCATTTTGTACGATGTTCCAGATATTTTGGAAATCTAAAAATATTAATAAAGATTTAAACTATTTTAGTAATATATCTGTTTCATATGATATTCTCATACATGTCTAAACACATGAAATTGTACAAACATTACTTTTAATTGCCGTATTATTATTGCAGTCTCATGTGTTTATATGTATACACATATTATACGACACTGCTTTGTTACTTAATTTAAAAATTAACCATTTAATAAGTTATTGTTGTAATGTAACATGAGACTTACGCAAATAAAGCCACATGCTTTCCTGTCTTTTTCTTTTTATGAATAGAATTATTGCACCAATGGACAACACAGTATTTCATTTTTATTTATTATTTTCTTGTTTGTAATTGCCGTGTTATTATATATCTCATATGGTATAATATATAGCTACTAGATATGTCTACTTCGTTATCATTCGTTATGCTCAACGAGTTCCATCATTTGCCGTGTTTGGTACTGGCGGCGCTGCAGATGTTTGTAGACATTTATTGCGTGGAAAAGTAAGCTGCTAGCAGTCCATAGTTATATAGTCAAAGATGCTTACCATACGGCGAAAGTTGTCTAGGGAATATCGCAGTAGCCAATCAACGTCTCGCATGCACATTATGCATCTACGTTGATTGGCTATTGCGGTATTTCCTATCCAAAACTTGAGTGCGTTCAGCGGAGAAAACCGCTCAGTGAGCGATTAGTGACTATTGGTCCTCTAAAGCGTCGTCTACAATGGCAATAAGCAGTAAAAAGTAAGCGTAAGCGGTAAGAAATAAACCAATCACAGTCGATTATGACAAAAATAATCAACTGTGGTTGGTCCATTTCTTACTGTTCACGCTTACTTCTTACTGCTTACTGCCATTGTAGACGACGCTTTAAAGTCATTCTACAATACATGTCGTAAGTTGTAAGCCGTAAGAATTGGCGAATCACAGTCAATTATTATAAAAATAATCGGCCATAATTGGTCAGTTCAGAGAGAAACCTGAGAGCGGCCACCGGACGAAAGCATATGTCTGTCCTGATAGGCCCCCTGAGAAAATAGACGTCAACTAACTCGATATGTTGGTAACAATACGAGGTTTATGTCTATGATTTGAGTCTGGTTAATGTCCGAGCTACTAAAACAGACTATAGTGAAAATTATATATATATATATATATATATATATGAGTAAGAGAAGGATAACAATTGAATCGCTTTGACTTTGTCTCACCACTAGTGAGCAGACACGCGACACAGGCACAAGTAATGCTGGAAATTCTTAGACGCACGGTCGAGGCTTACCTCCACCATTCGGTTTTCTCTGTTTTCTCACGCACCCTTGTGAAATTAGCCTCCCAACTTTTAAAAAATACAACTTTCTATACGTCATTCGGTTGCACATTGTTTGCACATGTATGCACATCTCGTATTTTCGTTTGCACACTTTTCGTTTAAAAGTTATTCAAGAAACAATTTGGGGGAGGCCAACTTCACACTGGCCCCTCAAATTCCAGCAAATTAATCTTAAACCGACGAAATCGATAGATCTTTATTTGCACATTACGAATTAAATTGACTTTTTGTTTGCACACTTCTAGTTCAAAAGTTATTTAACATTAACTTTTGGCATATCCGCTATATGATAGCCACTACTGAAAATGTGCAGAAATGGATTATAATGAGCCCAATCGATAGATTTTCGTTTGCACATTACGAAACAGGTCGATTTTTCGTTTGCACATCTGTAGGTCAAATATTTTTTTTTTTTAGTCATGGGAGCTAACTTCACACATGGCAATTTTCGCATTTTTGCAAAATTCTGACGTATGATGATGGCAATCAGAAGATTTTCGTTTGCACATTACGAAACAAATCGACTTTTCGTTTGCACACCTTTAAGTGAAATATTTTTTTTTAATTCAGGCATGAGAAGGTAACTTCAAACATGGCAGATATTGCATCTTTTGCTATACAACAATTTTATTACTCAAATTCCTTACGTATTACTTGATAAACAGCCATATTAAATGTATTGATCATAATACGTATTACTTATTCATAAAATCCAATCTCATATTTTACGTCGTTTTATATTTTCTTAAAATACTGTAGCCAATATATATTTAGCAAATAGTAATAAGGAACATCTGATTTCACTTAAATTTTACATTTTTTTAAATAAATAAATATATATTTATAATGTAGACGATGAATATTAATCATAGTCGCGGCTCGCGACTTAGATTCACGCCGAGAAAATACTAGAGAAGTGAATTTATATCTCGCTCGGCGCGCCTAGCTTCGCCGTGCACCCGATGTCATGGAGGGGGAAAAGTGGAAGTACAGCGCGGCCGTGCGTGGACTCAGAGCACTGGTCAAGCCCGCTGCGTCGGTCAGATAGCAACTGTTCCTCTTTTGCTTAGTCTCTACTAAAAGCGTAGGTCTCGTTCGAGAAGCATAGCATTGCAGGATACTTTTAGACAACATTTTTTCTTCAATTCAGATCTTGTAAAGAAAAATATGCCTCGTAAAGCTTGTGTAACAGCAGAAGAAATATTTGAAGCTACAAAAGATAGCGAGTATTTTGTAGCTTCACGTAATGAACTAAAATCTCGATTTTATCCCATATGGGCGGATATTTGCCGAACCTTAAAAAATAGAATTCAGGTTGTGAATCTATACTCATATTTGAAACAAAATAGGAATGGCGTTTTTTCCAACATTTTGAGTTATAAAGGTATTACTGTCAAACAAGAAATTAATCATTCATTAACTTCTTCCGATATTAGTCTTGATATATCAAAGCATAGAGAGCGTACATAGCGACTATAAATCAGTACGCGTTAATAGCGGTCATCAGTGCATGACTATCTTTTATGACATAACAATTGATGCTGAAACATGGCAAAATATAAGTCCAAAATTGATAACATACAAAAAATATGGCAAGTACAAGAACACCAGAGTGTATTCAGTATTACAACGAGGATGGACGGATGTAATATCGAAAGCATGTTGGGCGAAAACCAAAATCCCATGTGCTTGTAGCTTTAAAAGAGCGAAAATATATGAATCGCAAAATAATGCGTATATTAAAATATTTGGAAAGTGCAAGGAGTGTAATGCATCTTTCAATGCTTATTGTATGAAAAAACCCAAATTAGGAAGTGGTATAAAATTATTCGTAAAAACTATTGATACAAGAAGTGTACCGCATGAGGAAAAAAGGGCACTGAAAAGCACAGAAAGAATTAAAGTGCAGAATCAACTTATGCACAAGAAAGCAATTGTTTGGCGTTGTGAGGCGACGAATGAAATGGCATATGGTGGTGATCCTAGTAGATAAACTAGGGGGATTCTAACCCAAATTGCTAATTAATTATGCAAAAGACTAATTGATACCTCCTCTTAATTGACCCCCCCTCTTAATTGATCCCCCCTCTTTATTGATCCCCCTCTTTATTGACCCCCCTTTTAATTGACACCCCCTCTTTATTGGTACCCTCCTCTTCCACCCCAGAATCTTTGATTCTATGAGCAAGATGACGGCCGTGACGTCACGAGAGAAAAACGCGTCGAGCTGTAGGTAGACTCGAACCTGCGCCCCGCGGGTTGCTATCGGACGCTCGAACCTCCTAGACCATTGCTGCCTGTTGCTAGTAGACGTCTAGTAAAGGTTCTTACAGTATGTGTGTGATGACGTCACGCATACGTCAAAAGAAAAAACATGGCGGCGGTGTAGGCCAGACTCGAACCTGGGTCCCGCGGTTGCTATCGAGCGCTCGAACCTTCTAGACCACCGTTGCCTATTGCTAGTAAATGTCACGTTACAGGTAAGATGGCGACCGTGACGTTACACATACGTCAAAAGAACAAACATGGCGGCGGTGTAGGTAGGGTCGAATCTGGGCCCCGCGATTACTATCGAACCTGGGCCCCGCGATTATTATCGAACGTCTATCGGACGTCTCTCGAACGTCTATCGGACGTCTCTCGAACGTCTATCGGACGTCTCTCGAACGTCTATCGGACATCTCTCGGACGTCTAATAATCATCATACCGCAAATAAAGAACTGTATTTTTATCAAACACAATTATCATATAAAATCCTAAGAGGTGAAAGGGGATAAGCGTGTTGGAAGAAACATCTGTACATTTGAAATAATGTTTTATTAAGTGTCGTACAATTCTCTCCAAGACCACCAATTGAAAATGTTTAGTACGTTCTGTAAGACACAATTTTTCATATGATTATTACATCGAAAAGTATTATTCAATTTTTGCAGAAAAGGCATGTCATCATAATCGGTGTCCACGGTCCTAATGATCACGTTGCTTCTCACATTGTCATCCAGAAGGTGTAACAACCATTCCCGCTTCTCATGCCCCTTTACATACACAAGTTGAGATGCGACATCTTCAAGCTCGCCATACATATCACCAACCACAGAGGTAGTAATCAAATGTTCAGCTCTGCAGTATTTCACGGTTCCATCTTCCCATCGTAATCCATGATGATTAGCCGTTAACCAGTAGGCTCTCGATTTGTCTGATCTTGTGAGCAGATGCCATGGCATCGGACTCGTGAAGATGTAGTGTGAAAGAATAGTTCCATTCTTCAGTATCGTCACTTCTTTTACAATAAATCTCTTTCCAACCATGTACCCTTGTAAATCCACAAAAGTCGGCACATCCATGGTGAAATATTCTTCGATACGTCCGGGAGAGAAATGTTGTTTATAGCACTTTGTTGCATGTATTATTCTTTTCTCGTACATACTTTCTGATGTTAGTTAAGTTTGCGCACCATGTTGGTTAGCGGGCTGTATTCAACTACACGATCATGCAGGATGAGACAATATGCGGTAGTATTCGCCGGTATATTATCCTTACACTCAAATTCTATGCGCACATCCACAGTGGCACTCTTGACGGACTCATTTTGACGCGAGCAATCGATAACCACAAAAGGACCTAGCCGCAGAAAGTCAGTAGTTGTTAACCATGCCTCAGCATTGTCGCATCCATAATACGATTTACGAAAATGTCTATACATATCGTAAAGTACGGCGTATTTATTTTTTGTAAAGTTCAAATTCATGTCGTCGTACGGATAACACTCTGAATTCAGATAGAGCTTCATGTTGATCAATTTGCAGTCATCGAAACGAGTTATATTTTCCGACATGACATTCTTCCGGCCAGTCTGCAGCGCAAAGATAACGTATCGAGGTTTCTCCAAATTAGTAGCAGTTTTGACAGTCCACAAGTGTTTGGTTGTGCTTTGCAGTAGAGGAAATTCATACAGATCCCACGAGCGGAAACTCATACTCAGGTATCGTCCATCCTCCAAAGTTTTCAGCATGGAAAGTTTATTGATATCGTTCAAGATTACGTGAGGCATTCGCCATTGTATCTTGAATAGCTCAATCTTAGGATCCAGCGCTGAAGATCCTAGTAGACTGTTGTTGTCGCTGCGCGATCATAATAGAATCAAT